ATATTTGCTGTATTGCAGTATTTTCCGCAGCATCGCCTTGTGTAATGTAAACAAATTTTGTACAAATTAAGTTAGTACTTGTGAATCGGGGTCATGTGGGTGACAATTGTAACGGGGGTTGCAAATTTTATGGGATGTTAGTATTAGTTGTCATCTGTCAGTGGCTCTTTCAATTTTCGACATTCGATTTTTGTTATTGTCATACAAGATTGTAGTATTGTCTTGACTTTTTGTTGGAAAAAAAAATTTTTTTTTTCGCTTTTCTTTCTTTCTTTTCGTGTGTGAGAAAAAAAAATTATTTTTTTCAGTGTCTGTGTGTAGCAGCGTACATGAGTCTTACTCGCTCATCCAATCTCTCACGCATCTATTAATTTCCCTCGTACAGTATAACAATGGGCCATCGATAAGATATAGTTTCATTTCTTTTTTACTCACCTAGTGATGTTGAGGTCGCGTGTGCATTGATATAATCGATATGGTTGGGCATCAATCTCGCGTGCTCCATGGCACGCCGCATAGCAAGCATCGCACCATAACCGTCTGCTGGTGGTGCTGTTATATGGTGAGCATCGCCTATTTAGAAACAAAGTTTTAGTGCTGGTAATCGACATTAGGAAATTGGTGATATGAGGGGGTGTGTGTGCGGGGGGTGATGAGATGCTTGTAAAGCCAAACAAATTGTCGGAATACAAAGGGGGAGTATGGAAAATAAAATCAGATACGGAATAGGGTATGAAAGAAAGGGATATAAACTCGGTAAACAAGTGACACGTTGTCTAAAACTATAACCTAATATGTACGCACCGGACAAACCATATCCACGCAATTCAGCGTATATCCTCGCACCTCTCTTTTTGGCGTGTTCCAATTCCTGTTTGTCAAGGTTTTCCCCCCACGCCCCCAAAATTAATTAGTCATCAGAAAGAAGAAACTCTTTCCTTCGTCCCGTTAGTCTATAATTCTCGAGTTATTTCTAACTTTGGAAAGGATTTTAGAGACGAATCATCCATACTTCGAGTACAACTACACCTGCTCCTTCACCAATGACAAATCCATCCCGGTCTCTGTCAAAAGGTCTGGAGGCTTGTGGTGGATTATCGTTGTATTTTGTACATAGAGATTTGGCCCTATATCATCATAAAGTATATTAAATGATTACATTCATGCCAAGTCGCAAGTGCGCGCTGCAAGTCAAGGTTTGTAACGCAATATCTACTTTGCAAATCCAGCAACAGCCAGAGGATGAATGCACGCTTCGGTTCCACCGGCTATCATCACATCCGCGTCG